CATTTTAATTAACAAAATTGAGTCAAAACTAACTAATTATTTTGCTTATGTGTGTTTTTTAATTTCTTCTCTAATATAGTGAAAAATATATTTCTTCACTTCTAGAATGGAAAGAAATAAAACAAAAATTGAAATTAAGCAAGCAGAAAAAAATAATGGAAAATATGTCAATAAAATTAACAAAGATAAAAAAGAAAATTTCTATATACAATTTGTCATGTAATAAGATGAACTGCCTTCAGCACATTTGAAAAGCCAAAATAAACATATAAATGTTGAAAAATTATAGAAGAGAAGAAAGCTTTTAAAATATCAATCTAGTAAAAAATAAAAATCAGTTATCTTAGGATTCCACACAATCTGACAACAGAAGTTGATATCTTTAATGCTATTTGCTGAAGAGAAAATCATCTATCCATCTAATGCTGGAAAAAAAAAAAGATGAAATAAAAACGGATAAAATATAAGAAAAAAATAATACTAGAAATGGAGAACAAAAAGGATTCTATATCCCATGAATTTGATGAGGCAAATTGATAACTTTCTGTTGACTGGCATAAAAATAACAAAAATTCAAAATTAGATTTCTTCAAACAAATGTAAAATGCTCTCATCTTTCATGATCCATAACTTGATGAGGTGAACCGATAACTTTTTCCATCTGTATCAAGCTTAAACTCAGTCTTGCAGATACTGAATGAATACTGAAAAAAAAATAAGGGAAAAATGAAAACAAATTAATGAAACAAATTGGGAGGAAAGAAAGAAAAAAAAAAATCCGTGATTTACAATCAGCCATGATCCTTATAAAATAAAAAGGGTCAATATAAAACCTATCAAACCATAATAAAGAATAGTCTTGATTGATCCTTCACCACCTGTTGAGGCAATATCTACCATCTTTGTTGACCTCATTTTCACTTGATATGAAAAAAAAAAAAAAAAAAAAAAAAAATCATTAAAATAAAAACCAACAGTAAATTCTCTCTCTAATCTTGCATTGCTTGTTGATGTATCAAATCTTTGTGTTGAACCTAAAATTTAGATACCTCAATTTCCCCCTCCCACTAAACCAAAATAAACAAAAGAAAAAAAAAGTACAGTATCTAATCACCCATGATCCCTCACTATCTCATAAAGTAACTTTATGGCTTCCTCTATCATTACCAATCTCAAAATCATCCAGGCAGAAAGAACTCCTGCCAATAGAAAAATCACACCAACACATATCTCTCTCCCCATATATATATATATATATATATATATATATATATATATATATATATATATATATATATATATATGATTAAAAAAAAAAAAATATATCTTAAAAAACATCAAATTTTCAGAGTCAGCTTTTAATGTCATCCATCATTACATCTCCATAAAATTTTCTCGGAAAACCACAGGTAAAATAGTTATTGTCATATGAAATTTCAGTGGTGTATCTCAACCAGGTAATAGGATAGGATAATATAAACAGGAAAATGTAGGGACAGCAAATCAAAGTTAATGGCACAGCAAAAAGGAAAGCGAGTGAGTGAATGATAAGGTACCCTATTCTTCTGTCCTTCCTGACATTGGCGCTTACATCTTTTCCCATTTCTGCATCATGTGATTGATGGAGAAGATGGAATTTCACCTATTCTAAACGTTTAGAAATTTAAATTCAGTCGTATTTTATTTTTATTCAGTCAATTTATCAACAATTAGATTTATTGTGTGTGCCTCTCTTAATTAATCCTTTTCTTTCTCCCTTCATTTTTATCTCTCAATTTATATCTGTTAGCCTCTACCTTGAATGGTTCTGGAGTCTGGATTAGACAAACTTTAGTATTAGACAGAGAAAAAAATTAGATTGTGTGTAAAAATTTACTACATATTTTGGAGATCATCAAATTTATTTTAGGCAATGTATAAAACTACCAACAGCATGAAAGAAGGTACACTAGTGTCAAACTAATAGATGTTTTTATGTTGGAAAATGTACTATGCAAGTCAAAACATCATTTAAGTTCAGACTTACAATAAATGCTAACATCAGCAGTTTCCTTATGAGGAAACATTTAGCATTCATCAACCGAGTTTTATCCAAAATTCTTGGGACCAGAATGCTTCAGTTTTCAAGATATTTCATTTGTATATAACATCTATAATATGGGGAAACTTGGGAATATATCATGAAGGTAGTTTTATATAAATAACACATACCCTGAAAGTAGTTTTATATAAAATTTAATAAATTTTGTGTGCATACAGATACAGGTAATGATGCTAGTCATGTAATGCTCAAACAGTTTTTTAAGTGGTGAAATTAAGATTTCATGTAAAATTAATGTTTGGTACTTTTTGTACATATACAAAAACCATGATAACTACTTAGAAAAATATATAAATGCAGGACTTTTTGACATTTTGAATAATACCTTTACTGAGTACAAAATGCCTGGTACATAATCCATGAATGAAGGTGTTGTTGTGACAATTACTAGCATAAAAATGGTGCCAATGTAGGCTACATAGGCTGGGCTTTCTGAAATTCTCCATTTATGGCAAGTCATGTCCACACCAGTAAAACTTTTGGAATTTTGGATAAAGGATACTGAACCTGTACTACTTTCAGTTGAGATTTGTAAAATCTTTCTCTTAAAACAATTTTTCAGGAAAATAGATCTCAAGTCCAGTAGCTGTTGTTGCTCTTTCCAGTATTGACAAGGTATTTCCTTCCTAAGCTTTTATTTGAAATAGTGTGGAATGTAAACTTCTTGATTATATCATTATTTACTCTTTGAGTTACATTTAATATCTACTTTAGTTGTTGCTACTGTTGAAAGTCCTCAAGCAATATAGTTTCTGTTATCTAGTACATTCTTCATATCCAATGTATGTGTTTATTTATAAATATGATTATTTACACTAATCGAACTGTTATCCTCATCTTCATTGCCATATTCACAACATTTTGGCCGTTGTACACTTCAGTCTTCTAAAGGTGATAAAGGGTTTGGTTCAACATTCCAATCACCTGAAGAAGACCAGAGCGTACAATGTCTGAAACATTGTGAATATGGTAATGAAGATGAGGATAACAGTCTGAATAATGTAAGTAATCATATTTACAAATCAACACATACATTGGGTATATTATTAAGTACAGATATAAGAAAAACATTACAAATTTGACATATTTTGCAAAGCTAAATTAAACAGCAAAACTTATTCCTTATTTAATGTTGAATTTAATCCTTATGTTCAATTCATCATGTTGGAACAGAGAAATGAAGCTAATTACATAATGAAACATGTTAAATTTATAAAAATTTTCCTATTGTTCCTGTGCTGCTGTCAATTGAATTCATAAAATCTTTCATTTAAAACAATTTTTCAAGAAAATGTTTCTCAAATAGAGTGATTGTTAATTATTTTAGTGATGGAGATTTCCTTCCTAACCTTTTATTTGAAGTAGTGTGGAAAGTCAACATCTTTATTATGTCATTATTTTGTCTTTTCTCATGTGACATCCCTTTTAACTGCTACTACTGTTGAAAATACTCAGGTGATGTGGTTTCTGTTATCTGGTACAGTTCTTTGTTTGTGATTCCGTAACACCAGGCCACAAGGTTCAAAGAAGAATGGTCTTCACCAAAACCCTCAGGCTTCACTTGCCCAAAGCCATTTTTAACCATTAAATTTAGAAAGTGGCAGTATGCAGCTGAGAGTTTAGATATTTCTGAACAGGTTTAACACCGTGCATGACATCCATATGAATGTCTTGTTCTCACACAGCTTTTTAAGATTATGACTCGAGTTTTCAAATTAATGTTTTGGTTTGGTTGCAATTTGTAGTGTTGGGCAAATCTATCTCAAGCACATCTTATTCTATGTTCAATTTCCTTTTCTCGTATACTAAATTTGTTATAACTGATACTTATACCAAGGTATTTAAAACATTTGGTATTTTTATGATAGATTCAGGGTATGTACCATTATTGTTTTCATTCCAATTTCAGATCATATTTTCTGTTTTTACGGAAAACAGATTTCTCAAGTCCAGTAGCTGTTATCACTCTTTTCAGCACTGATGGGGCTTTCCTTCCTAAATTTTTATTTGAAGTCATTTGGAACATCAGCATCTTGATTGTCATTATTTTCTCTTTGCATTACATGTGATATCCATTTTAGCTGTTGCTGCTGTTGAAAGTCTTCAAGTAATGTAGTTTGTGATTTTGTCGCACCAGTTAACAAAGTTCGAAGAAGGATGGTTTTAGCAAAGACCATCCTACATGCTTTGCTTGCTCAAAGTCATTTTTAACCATTAATCTTAGGAAGCAGTGGTATAGAGCTGATAGTTTTAATATTTCCAAATGACTTTGGCATCATTCATGACATCCTTATGAATTTTTCCATCTGACTAGCCTATTAAAGATCATGACTTAAGTTTTCAGGTTAATGTTTTGGTTTTGTACCAATTTGTGGTATTGGGCAAAACTACCTCTAAAAATGATGCAATGTTTAGAATACATTTTGTCTATTATACTTTGAAAAAGGCATTCTGTTAAAACATTTAATTAACATAAACAAGATCAGAATGAAAGGTGCTTATTTCATGCAAAGCTTTTAAAAGAAAAAACAAAGAAAAAGATACTTGCTTCAGTACTTTAATTACACATAATGCCAGTAACATACCAGAAATTGTACTCCTACCATTTTATTAAAAGTCTATCCAATGCCGCTCATATATCAGTCTTCAGAACAGCTGATTCCTAAGCTCATTTCCATATTTTTAATGTATAGATAGAGTTTTCTTTAAATATATTGATGTATCCATCAGATCTGCCTCAAGAAAAGAAAATTTAATACAGTTGGGAAAATTGAATATAAACTAAATATGCTTTATTTCACTTTTCTACGTTCTTGAACACCAAATCATAATTTTGGAAAAATTCATGAAAGATTATAAAAATGTTTCAGAAACATTTTTTTTTCAAACATTTTGAATTTTAAGTTAAATAAGTCATATAAGTCCTAAGTCTTAAATAAGTCCTAAGAAAATAGAAGCTAAAGGGGGGAGGAAAGAGGAATAAAGAAATAAAGAAAGAAGGAATAAAGAAAGTGGGGGAGAAGAGGAATAAAGAAAAGAGAGAGGAGGGACATAGAGAGGACAAAAAGAAAAGGAAGAGGAAAAGAAAAGGAAGAGGAAAAGAAAAGAGAGAATAGACAAATAAAGAAAAGGGGGAGGAGGAGTATAGACAAATAAAGAAAAGGAGGAAGAGAATAGAGGAATAAAAAAGGAAGGGAAAGACAGGAATAAAGAAAAAGGGAGGGAAGAGAAGAATAAGATAAAGGAGGAGGAAACAAGGAATGAACAAAAAAGAAGGGAAAAGAATAAAAGGGAAAAGGAGGAAAATAGAGGAAGGGAGGCACAAAAGAGAGGAATAAGAAAATTGAGAGGGCAAAAGAAATAGAGAATGGGCAGAAGGCGGTAAGAAGAATAAAGAGAGGTGGGGAGACAGGGAAAGAGGGAGAAAGGGGAGACAGGGGAAAGAGAAATAAAAAAAGGGAGAGGGAAAAGAGAAATAAAAAAGGGAGAGGGAAAAGAGAAATAAAAAAAGGGAGTGGGAAAGAGAAATAAAAAAAGGGAGTGGGAAAAGAGAAATAAAAAAAGGGAGAGGGAAAAGAGAAATAAAAAAAGGGAGTGGGAAAAGAGAAATAAAAAAGGGAGTGGGAAAAGAGAAATAAAAAAAGGGAGTGGGAAAAGAGAAATAAAAAAATAAAGGAGAGGAAAGAAAAAAAAAAAGGGTGGGAAAGAAAATAAAAAAGGGGGGGGAAAAGAGAAAAAAAAAGGAGAGGGAAGAGAAATAAAAAAAGGGAGAAGGAAAGAGAAATAAAAAAGGGAGAGGGAAAGAGAAATAAAAAAGGGAGAGGGAAAGAGAAACAAAAAAGGGAGAGGAAAAGAAATAAAAAAGGGAGTGGGAAAAGAATAAAAAAAAAGAGGGGAAAGAGAAAATAAAAAAAGGAGGAAAAAAAGAAATAAAAAAATAAGGGAGAGGGAAAAAGGGAAATTGGAATAAAGAAAGAAGGGAAAGAGAATAATAAAGAATTGGCAGGAGATGAAAAGAGAGGAATAAAGTTAGGGAGGGAAAGACCAAAAAGAGGAAAAAAGAAGGAGAGGGAGGGAAAAAGAGAAATAAAGAATGTGAGGGTGGGGAAAGATGAGAATTAAATAATGGGAGGGTGGGGAAAGGAGAGGAATAAATAATGGGAGGGTGGGGAAAGGAGAGGAATAAATAATGGGAGGGTGGGGAAAGGAGAGGAATAAATAATGGGAGGGTGGGGAAAGGAGAGGAATAAATAATGGGAGGGTGGGGAAAGGAGAGGAATAAATAATGGGAGGGTGGGGAAAGGAGAGGAATAAATAATGGAAGGAAGGAGAAAAAGTGAAATAAAGGGAAGGGGGAGAAAGAGAAGAATAAAGAAAGGGAGGCAGAGAGAAAAGGAAGGTGGGAAAGGCGAAGAATAAGGGGAGGGAGGGGAATAGAGGAATAACAAATAGGAGAGAGGGGGAAATGAGGAATAAAGAGAGGGAGGAAAGAAAAAAGAGTGGGAGGAAAGGGAAAGGAAATAGGTGTATTTTCTGAAGAAAATAAACCCACATTTACATCCATAACAGATAAGAACTTTTTATATTTTCATTTCCTTTCTTATTAATTGTTAATAGAGCTATAAATCCTAAATTTATCTTTGTAAGTCTGAATTTGAAAGTCCCATTTTGAACACGTTATTTTCAAGTTTATACTTATTTTGTTTATTCGAAATGTATCATTTTCTATTCTTTTTTTCTAATTTCCTGTTTTCCTCTTTCCTTAATTTTCTACATTTTGTTTTCTTTTTTTCAGATTATCCACATCCACCATCCACCAAATAACCCCCTTCTTTAACCTCCTCATTTTCCGCTTTCCAATAAATTTTTTTTTTTTGTTTCATTCCATTTTATCAGGAAATTTGATCCACTGCATTTTTCTGTTTCCTGCAAACCCTATCCTCCACTAACCCTGACCCAATGCTGGATTGCATTGACCAAGCAATTCAAGAGTCCCTGACTACTAAATTTGACCTCTGGACCACACTGCCATGCCATTTGATTCAATTAGATTCAGACAAGAAGAGAGATGAGTAATCTTTTGCTTTGGAGCAATATCCATCAAGAGATGTCCATCTTGCTGGAAAAAATTCTTTGTAGCCATTAAATTTGACAAATACTGCCCAATGTCTGTTCTTGTTAGATCTTATGTATGACATGGCAGGTAACCCATCTGATCACATGACATGAAAGTAGGAGGTTAGCCGACTGGTGGTAGTGGTGATAGAAAGTTAAAAGAAAGGAAGTTATAATTTATGGGATGGGAGGAATTATTTTTTTTTAATATATTTTAGGTGAGGAAGAATGCATTGTTTTATTCAGACAAAAGTTATTTGCAGAGAAAAGGAAAAGAATGAATGAAAACACAAAGGCATTCACTTGCAGAACTGTATAAAGATATGAGGCAATCACTGAAAAAAAAAAAAAAATATATACAAAAGGAAAGCTGGAAAGTTATCTGCCTGACCCACTTCCTAAAATGATCTAATCAAATGACCAAACAAAAGAATATTTTTTAAAGGGCAACTTGGTTGTTCTGAGAACTTTTCAGCAAGCACTCATATATAGATATACAGTTCTTAAATTTAAATTCTTAGAAAAAGGCTTGCAAAAATATGCACAAATGGACAAACGAATGTATATGCACAAAATAAAATATATATGGTTATCAAAACAGACCTTAATGCACATTTATATTATATAGATCATATTTAAATGTGTGTCATACACACAGTATATGTGGGTGGGGTAATGGATAGCAGCTCATACTGAGAAACCAGACAGCCAAGTTCAAATTCTGATCAAGTTCATTAGATTCACTAATGCACAAATACTCTTGGGAAGGGTATGAATCCATTTCCTACCCCAGCTATAGGTTAAATAGGTTTCAGATTATTTTGCCTATCATTCTGGTTCATACTGCTCTTGGGTCTTTTGAACAGGAGTAGAGGTATATCCTTTGTTTCCTGTTTAAGATTGTATTTCCAGTTCCTTCAAAAGTCTACTTCAACTCTACACTCCTGATATCTCCACCTAAATTCTGAAATTTTATTTACTATTTATTTTTACTTCAATAGGAGCATATAGGTTAGCCTATGGCCCAGTTCATACTCCTCCCCCATCTTTTGAATAAGAGCAGAGGTTTATCGCTTCATTCCTGTTTAGCATTGGGTTCCTGGTTCCCTCTAAAGTCTTTAATTCTCTTTCATTGCCAGTGGGATTATTGCCTTGCTTGGGGTAAATTTATTTAAAAAAAAAAACTCTGTAGTTTATACTGCAACTATGTTGATCAGACAATAGTTACATTTTCTAGGAGAGTGGGAATCCTCTGATGTGATTAACAGTTTCAAACCCTCAGTCACTTGTGACTTTGTGCTAGCACAACCGTTGATGGCTTCTGAACAGTTCTATCTATCCATTTTCACTGACAAAATTTTTGTTCAATCTCGACTGGTTTGGGGTCATCTCACCAAGAAGTCCCCTCCCTGACAGATCTGGATTTCACCATGGTTGATTTATGTTTTATGGTTAAAAAAAACAATGTTCTAATCACTTGACTATGTGTCCAAACATAGAAGATACACTGTTCAATCAAATTTAAAACAAGACAGACACACGTACACATTGTAGAAAGACAACGGACTAGTATATGAAAAACAAGAAATTGCATGCACTTAGTGAAAACAGAACAATCAGGAACTGATACCCAAAATATGGATCACACTATATATAATTAGTAAAACAAACATACTAACACCCACATTAAAAAAACAAAAAAAAACAAACTGATATACACAATCCAATCTCATTTTCTTGTCTTTTTTAGTTCAAAATGGCAAATCCTTTCTAAGCTTGAATGTTTTTCTCTCACGGGCATCACAGCTGCAGAAATCTCTGCCAGCTTCTTGCTTTCTGTTTAAATAGAATTATCTAAAATTAAATGCAATTTCAATAATCATCTTCTGTCGCCTTGAAAACCTGTTCTTTTATTGTCCTCTGCTTTTTTTTTCACTCTCAGTAACCCCTTAGGGCTTAGTTGCTTTTATTGCCTTCCATGGGATGAAGTGATAACAAAAAATATAGAAACAATAGACTATGTGATAGTAAAATCCAAGTTACTTAGATTAACTATTTAGGCTTTTCACATCATATCAATTGTGGTGAATGCGTGTCAGTACAGATGCAAAAGAGGCCTCAGAATGCATGTGGAGAATTTTTTTCAACACCAGTTACATCTGGGTTTGGTTTGTTTTCTTTTATGGCATATCAACAACAATGGGTTATTTAATGCCGACAACTTTTTTCCTGGTAATATTTTGTTTTGTCAAAAATCTATTTCTGGAATTATTTTTTTCCTCAAAAATGTATAGCTAGTCATATTATTTTCAAAAACATATTGCTGGTAATATTTTTTTCAAAAATGTACTGCTGGTAATATTTTTTTCAAAAACGTACTGCTGGTAATATTTCTTTCAAAAATGTATTGCTGGTAATAGTTTGTTTTTCTTCAAAAATTTTATTTCTGGTAATAATTTTTACAAAGTATTTCTGGTATTAAAACCTATTTTTACACTTTTATAATGCTTTTTACCTCAGTTTCAGGGTTAACTATTTGCTCATAGCTGGAACCCTAACAGGTGCTACCACCCCAGGTGAGGATGGACCTGGGAACACCAGCAATTAAGAGGTGGTTTCACACTCCTCAAAACCATATAAGAAATACTCTGTACATTGTGTCTGCCGCAGATCCATTTATAGCATACAACCAGTTTCTAGCTAGGTACTTGGATTCAAATGAATCTGACATCATCTACTTGGCAGACCTCCACAGGCTGTCAACCTTGTATGGAGAGGTATCTGACCGTAGACTTGCATGTGCATTTGTAGCAGGGTTGCCTGAGCACATCAGCAAGTTCCTTTGTGCTTCCACTTGAATGAATGATGTCAACCAGCTATCAGACCAGGCTAGAGTCATACTGAAGGATGATACACTGGTGGCAGAATTGATTGTATCAGCCATAAAATCTGAGCAATTGAATACAGACTTGACTTCTGCTAATGATACACAGAACAATATCATATCCCAGAGATGTGATGGTGCTAATCATTTGGCTAGATATCGTTTGAGTTGACAAACTGGACAAAGTGGGAGCCAATAAGGAGTCAAAGCCATACAATGCTATTGCTGTGATAAACTGGGCCATATATCATGGAAAGGTCCAAGAAACAGATCAGATGTAAATGCAACATTGCCTATAGTCTACATACTGGTTGAAGGGGAAAGGTGTTAAGCTTTCACTTACTCTGGCTGCTCTCAGTTGATTGTTAGTGCAAAGCAATGATGGTTGTGGTCCAGAAAGCACATAGATATGGAGACAATCGGTGGCAGAATACAGGTGTGCTGTGGTGTCAGTACCATTAATATCTGCACAGACAGTGGCAACTCAGCCAAGATCGATGTCTTTGTGGTGCATGACAATCCTCTACACTTTGACTTACTTGCTGGAATAGATGCAATAACTGCATTAGGTGGCATCCATATCATGCAGACTGGATCTGTACAGTTCTGCAGCAAAGAAACAACATGTGTAGCAATCCCAGTTGACCAACCTGACTTTTCTATGGAATTCAACCACCAGCAAAGGATCTGAACTGCAAAATGGAAGTGGATGGCAGGTGTAGTACCAGCTCAGTTATGCAAAAGGGTTTTGGAGTACCCCATTTCAAAAGTTGTTAGAGATGCCTATAAACAAGAGCTCCTGACATGGATCACCAATCTGGAGACATTCAATAGTTTAGTGCCATTAATGGCTATCATGCAGCACAACAAAGGAAAGGTGTGTCCAGTGATGGACTATCATGAGCTCAACAAACACATTGATGTGTTCACTGCAAATGCAAACGTTTGTTCAGCCAAATTGCGAGAGTATTGCCAACAAGGAGAAAATCTGGCCATACTTGACTTGTGAAAAGCATATCTTCAAGTACACATACATGATTCACTGTGGCCATAATGAACTGTGATGATCAAGGGGAAGTGGTTTTGCCTAATGCAGTTGGGATTCAGCCTCAAAATTGCATGTCTAGTCATGAAGTCCATTATTGACACTATGTGGTTACAGGAGGAGCAACATTGGCATACATTGACGATGTGTATTTCAATGGGAGCACCATGTCTGCAGAATATGTCAGGGTAAAATTGGCCCAGTATGAGCGGATGCCCAAAGACCCAAAAAGTTTGAGGGATGGGGCTCACATGCTTGGATTGGAAGTCTGTGAGGAGCATAACACTCTGCAGTGGATACAGGGAAGTGTGATCCCAAATGTTTCTTATGTTATGACTTGGTGGAACATCTCACTATGCAAGAAGCTAGTGGAGCATCTCACCATGGTGGATGTGTGGGGTGACTGGGTTCATCAAGCAGCAGGCACATGCAATCACAAAGAGATGGGATAACCATGTTGATGACATTCTCCTGAAGCAGGTGGTGAAGGAAAGCGTGAACAGAGAGCAACAGGAAGATC